TCTCTCTCTACCTGTGTGTCTTCATCTGTCTCTCCCCTTCTACCCGTCTCTCTCTACCTGTGTGTCTGTCTCCATCTGTCTCTCCTCTTCTAGCTGTCTCTCTCTACCTGTCTGTCTTCATCTGTCTCTCCCCTTCTACCCGTCTCTCTCTACCTGTGTGTCTCCATCTGTCTCTCCCCTTCTACCCGTCTCTCTCTACCTGTGTGTCTTCATCTGTCTCTCCCCTTCTACCCGTCTCTCTCTACCTGTGTGTCTGTCTCCATCTGTCTCTCCTCTTCTAGCTGTCTCTCTCTACCTGTCTGTCTCCATCTGTCTCTCCCCTTCTACCTGTCTCTCTCTACCTGTCTGTCTCCATCTGTCTCTCCCCTTCTACCTGTCTCTCTCTACCTGTCTGTCTCCATCTGTCTCTCCCCTTCTACCTGTCTCTCTCTACCTGTCTGTCTCCATCTGTCTCTCCCCCTCTCACATCACGAGTCTATAAACTTGATATTTGTTTCTTACTCAAAGGACACATTAATTCCATAAACAAGTGTTTACACATTTGACAATTCTTGTCCCAAACAGCAGCATTTATTTCAGGGAGCGTCTCCATAGGAACCCAGTTCTTAAAGCTGAGAGCATGAATGCTTTAATATTGGTATTCATAATAATAACTAATAACTATTATTATTAGAATTATTATCATCGATATAAATAGCAATGCGTTGTGTTAGATGACTGTTCACGTTTCAGCATGGTATTATTTCATTTCTATATCTAAGAATGTGTGTGTGTGTGTGTCTGTGTGTGTGTGTCATGAAGGTGGGTAAGTGCCGGCTGAGGGGCCCTTCAGTGGGAGTGTGTGGGGGGGTCTGAAGTGGCGTCCCCCCATTAACATAGAAGGAGGTGTGTGTGAGAGATAACTGCTGGCTGTCTCACAGTCTGACACCTCACAGACACACACATACGCACACAAACGCACACACACACACACACACACACACAGACACACACACACATACGCACAAAAATGCACAGACACACACATACGCACACATACACACACAGACACACACATACGCACACACAGACGGCCCATCAGACACACTTCACATCCACTCACATGCCACCATGTTGACTCACTACGAGATGGTGCATGGAAGTGTGTGTGTGTGTGTGTGTGTCTGTGTGTCTGTGTGTGTGTTGGTTCTTTGTTGGATCGATCCGGTTGTTGTGATCAGCTGCTCCTTTCACATTGTGGCGTCACGTGACGGATCAATAACGTGTTAATAACAGACTTTCTACAGCTGATTTAATAAAAAAGCTTTCTGTTGCCGTAATGTTCATAAGAGAAGCTCACTGTGATATTGATCTGAATTAACTTTATTTATTGATCCGCTGTTACCGACATCAGCATGAAGCTATTATTACCTGCTGTGGTCACCGACTAGCGGATCAATAATCTAGCGGCACCAGAGAGGATTGTGGGTACCGTGATGTTTGGAGACGCAGGGCAGGAGAGAGGACGTGTTATTGAACTAAAAGTTATTATCGTAATACCTCTTTAAATGATAAATTAAAATTAAAATAAATTTAAAAATTAAATTAAATTAAAAGCTTCAAAGTTCTTTAGTCATCAGCTGTGAGACGACGTGTTCCAGGCTCTTTGTTCAAAGGACAATCAATACATGTAACAAGAATACGATCAATACATGTAACAAGGATACGATTAATACATGTAACAAGAATATGATCAATACATGTAACAAGGATACGATACATACATGTAACAAGAATACGATCAATACATGTAACAAGAATACGATCAATACATGTAACAAGGATACGATACATATATGTAACATGGATACGATCAATACATGTAACAAGGATACGATCAATACATGTAACAAGGATACGATCAATACATGTAACAAGGATACGATCAATACATGTAACAAGGATACGATCAATACATGTAACAAGGATACGATCAATACATGTAACAAGGATACGATCAATACATGTAACAAGGATATGATCAATACATGTAACAAGGATACGATCAATACATGTAACAAGGATACGATCAATACATGTAACAAGGATACGATCAATACATGTAACAAGGATACAATACATACATGTAACAAGGATACGATCAATACATGTAACAAGGATACGATCAATACATGTAACAAGGATACGATCAATACATGTAACAAGGATACAATACATACATGTAACAAGGATACGATTAATACATGTAACAAGGATATGATCAATACATGTAACAAGGATACGATCAATACATGTAACAAGGATTTACTTTGCTCATTTAAATGTTTCACTGCTTTTACCAATAAATGAAATGAGACACAAGGCAAGTTTATTTGTGTAGCACTTTTCACACACAAGGCAGACTCAAAGTGCTTCACATTATAACATTTCATACAATAAAGTGAAATAAAATGCAGGAATTAAAAGACAATTAAAAACAGCAAATAAAATTATAAATTAAAATCTTATTGAAATTGTTTAATTAAAAGCAGAGGTTAAAAGTGCAATGAAGGTAAAGTGTAGCAGAAGGCGAAGCTGAACATACGTTTTCAGTCTTGTTTTAAACGTGGTCAGAGTTTAAGTCTTAAATCTTCAGGAAGTTTATTCCAGCTGTTTGTTGCGTAGTAACTAAATGATGCTTTCCCATGATTTGTATTTACTCTGGGAATCACTAACCGATTGGTGTCAGAAGATCTTAGTGATCTTGAAGGCTTATGTAGTGGAAGCATATCAGTGATATACTTTGGCCCTAAACCATGTAGTGATTTATATGTGAGCAGTAGGATTTTGAAATGAATTTTCTCACATACTGGGAGCCAATGTAAGGATTTAAGAATTGGTGTAATGTGCTCACATTTTTTGGTCTTTGTTAGAACTCAAGCAGCAGCGTTCTGAACAAGCTGGAGCTGCCTGACAGGTTTTTTTTGGAAGACCTGCAAGGAGACCATTACAATAGTCTAGCCTACTGGTTATAAAGGCATGTACAAGTGTTTCTAAGTCTTGAGCTGACATGAGCCCTCTAAGTCGTGCGACATTTTTGAGGTGGCAGTAGGCCGATTGTGTTACTGATTTGATGTGACTCTCCAAGTGTAAATCTGAATCCATAATAAACCCCAGATTTCTGGCTTATTTGATGTTTTCAGGGACAAAGAGTGAAGGTGTTGGCGATAGTCGTTTGGTGATAGCGCTACATAGATTTGGGTGTCATCAGCGTAGCAATGGTGGTCAATTTTTTTTCTTTGCATGATTTGTCCTAGTGGGAGCATGTAGATGTTGAATAAAGTCGGCCCTAAGATCGAACCTTGGGGGACTCCACACGTTACGTCGGTTATTTCTGATACGAAGTCACCAATGGAAACAAAATAGTTCCTGTCTTGTAGATATGACCTGAACCAGCTTAAGACTGTGCCTGAGAGCCCCACCCAGTTTTCCTACCTGTCCAAAAGTATTGAGTGGTCGACAGTATCAAATGTAGCACTGAGGTCTAATCGCATTAATATTGAAGTTTTGCCAGAGTCTGTGTTAAGACGGATGTCATTTACAACTTTAATAAGTATAATAATACATAAATAATTAATTAATACATAAGAAGGTGTTTTGATATTTCTATCGACTGTTGGGATCTAGAACCATTAGTTATAATTACGTAGCACCTCGGGTCACCAGCAGTACAACTTTAACTGAAAGAAAAGTACAGATATCACCTTCTTAAATGACCAGATTAGTCCTGAATTCAAAGGACTAAACAGTTCAGCAGCAGTATTTTAGAAGGTGTTTTACTGGGATAAACATGCTGATATTCGTTTTTATTACCAATGAATATCAGCATTTTAATGTGAAGCTACTTTATTTACTGGGTACATTTGTATTATTGTATTAAATCATTGCAGATGAGATGTAGTAGAGATGTAGTAGAAGTACAGTATTAAGTACTAGACAATTGAAATACTCCAGTAAAGTACTGAGGTGTGTGTTTGTGCGTTTTACAGAAAGTGCCCGGATGGGTTTGTGTGTCTGAAGGCGGGAAGGAACCCAAACTACGGCTACACGAGCTTCGACAGCTTCGGCTGGGCCTTCCTGTCCTTGTTCCGCCTGATGACTCAGGACTACTGGGAAAACCTCTACCACCAGGTAAACGCCCACTGGCCCCGCCACTCAGAGAGGAAGAGTTCTAAACCTCCAGCAGGGGGCGACTCCTCTGCTCCCATAGACGTCTATGAGGAAACGACTCGACTTCTCTCTGGATTTATTCGGCAGACGCTGCGCTCGGCCGGTAAGACCTACATGGTGTTCTTCGTGGTGGTGATCTTCCTGGGCTCCTTCTACCTGGTCAACCTCATCCTGGCCGTGGTCGCCATGGCCTACGAGGAGCAGAACCAGGCGACCATCGCCGAGGCCTGCCAGAAGGAGCGGGAGTTCCAGGTTGCCATGGAGATGCTGAAGAAGGAGCAGCAGGTAGACGCAATCGGACGCGGCTTCCCGTCCTGATTTACAGAAGGAACAGGAGTGTTTTATAATTGATTTACATATATATATATATATATATATATATATATATATGATAATAATACTCCTCTTAGATAACCTGAATCTGAGCTAAACTTTGATTGGCCAGTCTGTGTTTCAAGGGGCGGGACTTAGATATGAGTCAATCAAGGAGAGGTGATCCCTGTGAATAGCTTGACCTAGCTTATGTTTTACACTTCATGTCTGCTGATTGAATAGTTCTGAGTGGTCTGTGGACCATTTCCATTCTAAATAAAATGAGCATTTGTTATAATATGATGCCTTGCAAAGACATTAAGACTAATAGCATTTGTTTTCCAACCTTAAACCATTTTCCGGAAATATTTGCTCCATAAATAATAAGTAATATTCTAAGAAGTAAGAAGCCAAAGCATTGTGTGTTAAAGCTGCATTCTGTGTAGTGACCAGCAGGGGGCGACTCCTCTGCTCCCATAGACGTCTATGAGAAAATGACTCTACTTCTCTGTAGTGACCAGCAGGGGGCGACTCCTCCTGCTCCCATAGACGTCTATGAGGAAATGACTCCTACTTCTCTGTAGTGACC